AATCTTTATGTGGGCTTGTGTGTATTTCTGGGCAGGCTCGGCATCACGATCTCACACTCACGCACGCTCACGCACACACACGCACCATAGGGTTGTTTGTACACAGCTCTGTTTCGGCCTCTTGAAGCATGGCCCCGAAGACTGAGAGCGCGTTTGTCCGAGTATTGAGTCCTTCCTCAAGTCCCTGCGCCGTGTGTGACGCATCCGCTTTGGAATCCGTGGACTCGTCGCTCTGTCTCTCTCGCACCTGTACGGCACGCCCCGTGAGTGCGAGAGGGACAGAGCGACGACTCCCGTCGGCTGGAATGCGGCAACAGCACTACTTCGCGGACCAAGCGGGGCGGGGCGCGGCGGGTCTCCCAGGCCTAAGCGGGCATATAATGAAGCGTTTGACCCCAATCACGAGCGATTAACGTGCCTCCCATCGAATTGCTATCAATAAAGTTTTGGGTCGTATAATCAGTGCCGTGGTCTGAGCGCCTTGCCTCTGCTGCCTTGCCCTGGCACACTACATTCCACTTAGACCGCACCGGCTGTAGAGAGGAAAGGGAGGGACAGGGGGTCCTTCGCGATCGTCCCCGCGAGGCTAGACCGCCCCGCCCCGCCCCGCCCCGCCCCGCCCCGCCCCGCCCAAAACGCGCGCTGATTGACGCACGGGGCCCCGGGGGCAAGGAGGGCAACGCGACCGCGCGAGCCCCGGGGCGCCGCCAAGCAGGCCCAGCCGGCGGCCGAGCGCGCGCGCGTGTGTGTGTGTGTGTGTGTGTGTGTGTGTGTGTCGGCGCCTGTGTGCGTCGAGACGGGTCCCTTTGAGTCGATCGCGCCCCGCACCGCACATGTGTGCATCCCGTAGTACCATACGCAGTCGCTGCAGCACAGTCGTCCTCGTCGCTCTGTCTCTCTCGCACTCCTGGGGCGTCCCGTTTGGGTGCGAGAGAGACGGAGCGACGAAAGCGACTCTCGGAATGAGTCTGCGCAGGGCGGGCAGGGCGGGCAGGGCGGGCATAGGGCTGCCGCCGCGGTTGCGGTGGCGGCGCTTTGAAGGCGCCGAGGCGGCAGGTCCTCCTCTCGGCCCTCTTCGACGCCGTCCTCGCCGACTGGGTGGAACGGGCCGTGGACCGCGGCGACGACCAATCCCTTCCCTCCCCCCCCCCCCTTCCGCCCCTCCTCAAAAGCAGAGCGCGGCTTAACTAATCGGCGACCGTCGACCCGCGACGCCGCCGTCGGCCGTCTCGTCGTCTCCCCTGCCGGCCGCTTCCCTCTGTCTGTCTCTCTCCGTCTCCCTCGCACCCCTGCACCCCTGCGGCAAGGTCCGCGAGTGCAAGAGGGACGGCGCGATGTTCGGAAAACGAGCCTGCCGCGTCGCGGCGCGGTGCGGTGCGGTGCGGTGCGTCCGCGCGCTGGCAGTGCCGTGGCAGTGCCCGCGGCCGGTCGCGCTGGTAATGAGATGGGCTGTTCTGGCGCAGACAGACACGGCGACACTGCGGCGAAGCGCGCGCTCTCTCTCTCTCTCTCTCTCTCTCTCTCTCTCTCTCTCTCTCTCACTCACTCTCTCGCGGCCGCGGGGGACGCCGCACGAGTGTGAGAGAGACAGACGGCGCGGTTCGGTTCGGCCTGCAGCCGCGTGCGCGTGTCTGCGGGTGACACGGGGCCTGCTGCGGCCTGCTCTGCTGCTCGCGCTGCTGGCTGTGCTCGCGGTGGTCTGCTCTTGGTCACGACCTTTCGCCGCAGCGCCGCGCCACTGCCATCGGCAGCTTCGTCGCTCTCTCTCTCTCTCTCTCTCTCTCTCTCTCTCTCTCTCTCTCACTGTTTGGGGTGTGGTTCGCGGTGCTGGCGGGCGGGCGTGAGGCCGCCGCGTAGCCCTGCCTGGAACTTCCGGGTCCTGGAATGTGTCGCGGACGACGATGGATGTTGTCATTTTGGAAGGGGGTGGGGAGGGGAGAGCGGCGCCAACTCCCCGACCTGACCGTCTCCTTTCGCTCATCGCCAGGGCTCTGGCCAGGGCCTGGACCGGCGGACTCCTCGACGGGCTTTTCGGTGGGCGTCGAGAGGGCATCAACGCCTTGACGGAGGCAGGCAGGAAATGGAGTGGGATTCCTTGCCGACGCCCCCCTTCCCCCCCCCCCCCCTCTCTCTACGGAGGCTGCTGGCCTTCCCCGACCTTCACCTTGGCTGCGATGCTGCTGCCTCGCTGCCGGGGACTCTGGTGGAAATTGAAACGGAATAAATCACACCGCGTGGCGCGGCTCGGCGTGGCGTGGCGTTATGGAGGAATGAATGCTTGGCGTGGCGGGGGAAGGGGTGGGGGGGGGAGAGGAGTGGAGAGTTTCAATATGTTGACAGGGCCGCGCGGCTAATATCGCGCTGAGGCGCGCCGAGCACACTGCTAAATGGGCGGACATGGCGCGGCGACGCGTGGCGCTGTGTGTGTGTGTGTGTGTGTGTGCGTGTGGTCGCGAGACCGCGGGGTTTAGGAGGGTCGCGGTAGGGTCACTGCTGCGTTAGTGTGTGTGTTAGTGTGTGTCTGGGTGTAATTGTAGTTAATCTGCATGTCACGTGGCGTGCACGAGCGGGGACGTCGTCGCGGACTCCAACAGTCCCCTCTTCCTCATTTCGTACTTACCAACCCGTATGATTCTCTCTCTCTCTCTCTCTCTCTCCCTCTCTCTCTCTCTCTCTCTCTGCGCGTCGCGAGCCGCCACTGCCGCGTCAGATTGTAATCGCCTTCTTCTAAAGGCCCGTAATGGCCGTATCGAAAAGTGTTAATGAACACCTCGGCCGATCGGCCATCGCTGCTCTCTATTTATTGCTCGAATTACAGTGGATCGGCGCGCGGCTTATCTCCGATTCCCACGACGAGAGAGAGAGAGAGAGAGAGAGAGAGAGAGAGAGAGAGAGAGAGAGAGAGAGAGAGAGAGAGAGAGAGAGAGAGAGAGAGAGAGAGAGAGAGATGGGGACGCGTTGTTGGTGTGCCGAACGTTCCGTGCTGTACCGTCCGTCCGGCACCACCACCACTACTCTGCCTGCAGACTGATTCCGAGAGTCGTTTTCTTCGCCCGGTCTCTTACGCACCCATATACGGCGCGCCCCACGAGTGCGAGAGAGACAGAGCGACTCGGCACGGCTCTGCCTGGCCAATTAGGCCCCCAAAGCAACACGGACCAACACCCCCTCCCCCTCCGCGCGCAGCAGGGCGTGGCGGGGGTGGGGGTGGGGGAGGGGGAAGTCCAAACGAGTATAAATCTCGACCCGCATTGGTGGCGAGTGCGCGCGGGTCAAGTCGAGTGCGCTGCGGATGCAGCCACCGAGTGCGTGTGTGTGTGCGCGTGCGCGCCCCACTGTGTGTATCGACTAGAATGTGTGCATGATGGCGAGCAAAGGGACCCGGGTTCGAGTCCCGCCGCCGTCGTCGTCGCCGCCTTTTCCGAGGCGGAGGATCACAGTTTGACGGGCTCCGCGGGGGCTCCGGTCTTTACCCCCGGTAAGTTGGCATGGCAGCGGTCGGCCGGACCGGGGAAAATAGATGATGAAGCCACCCTTTGGCCTCCGCCCTCTCACAGACACACAGACACACACACACACACACACACGCAGACAGACGCACACTCGGCGCCCCGCCGCGAGCGGAGGGGGCGCCCGACCGGCCCGACCCCGCGCCCCGCGCCGGGCCTCGTTCAAATTGATTCTCAGCAAACAAGCAGCGGTGGCGCGGGCAGGCGGCGGCGGCGGCGGCGTGAGCGGGAAAAAATTAAAAAGAGAAATCATAAATTCCTGATACCCCGAGGGGCAGGCAGACCGGCCAGGGCCGTATGGGCCGCTCGTGTAGCGCACAGTATCAGCACGTTCGGAATAAATGCCGCCCATAAAACAAACACACACATACGTGTGAGTGTGTGTGTGTGTGTGTCGCCCAGTTTTAAAAGCTCCTCTGCGGTTGACAAGCGGGCACACATGAGCCGAGCCGGTCTCGGAGGTTTTCCGCCGATTGGTTGCGTCGGCCGGACAACTTGTAACGCCGGCCAGCCGAAGCCCTGGGCCTTTGAGGACGTCCTCTTTGATTACCTTATCCAGGGCCGCGCTGTGGGCTCTCTCTCTCTCTCTCTCTCTCTCTCTCTCTCTCTCTCTCTCTCTCTCTCTCTCTCTCTCTCTCTCTCTCTAACTAACAAATTGTAAAACACTGCATCATGCACCAAAGATACCTCAAGAGACAACAAAACAGCATGATTTTTTTGTGACAAATTTTTACACTTCCCCGTTTTGGCCCGCATTGTGAACTAAAAAACCCCCCAATAAATCCTGTTATAAACTAAAAACTCTCTCTCTCTCTCTCTCAAAATGCCCCAACCGTCTCGGCATTCTCGGGCAGTCGGCCATACGGGCGTAAGGCCGCCGTAAAGCATGCACGCCGATGACGAACATAAAGGGCCCACTGTAAGTAGGGAGGCGAGCGGACTGATTCCGAGAGTCGTTTTAGTCGCTCTGTCTCTCTCGCACTCGTCGTGGGGCGTGCCTTACAGGTGCGAGAGAGGCAGAGCGACGAAAACGACTCTGCTCGCCGCGTCTATGTGCTAATTGTTACCGTCCATCACTGCGCGGCTCGTAACTCTTCCACTTGGCGGAGCGGTAATGCCGCGGTCGCAATTTCTCGCGCATTATCACATGCATTTTTTTTTTTCGCTGGCGTTTTTCTTTTGTTTTTCTCGTGTGGTAGTATTGGTGCGGCCGGGTTGATCGGTGTTATTCCCTCGAACTGAGCTTGTGACCCCATCAATGGATTCCTCGTTCGACGAGCAGTCCATTGGTGGGGTCGCACGTTCGGTTCGAGTCCCATTTAGCGACTCCGGAGCTCACAACGCGTCCGGGATTTTGACCGCCTGCACCGGCCTTCTGGCCCACTGTGCGTCGGGGCGCCTGCGCGTTCTTCAGAGCGACGCACCGCTCTGATTGGATTCTCGTTGTTTTGCAATCTCCTCTGACCTCCCTTTGGTTTTTCTTTGTTGCAGTGTTGGGAGAACTGTCAGCTCCTGCAGTCCAACTTCCCCGTCTGGGGAGCCATGTGCAACGAGAAGAGCCTCTGTGTGAGTATACAGCAAAGTACCCCCCAGTGTCAGTCTGGTGATTTTTGTCGCGTCGCGCTTTGGCGCGATGATTCCGCCGAGTCGTTTCGTCGCGCTCTGTCTCTCTCGCACTCGCTGGGCGTCCCGTATGGGGTGCGAGGGAGACGGAAGGCGAGTGGCTGGGCCGCGCGGAGCCGTGCCAGCAGAGCACGCGAGTGAGTCACGCGTGATGCGTCCCCGGGGAAGCCGCCAGGACCGCCAGGACCGCCAGGACCAGGGTGGGGTGGGCGGCATAATCGAGTTATCGGGGCAGCGCAGCCAGGCCTGGCCAGACTCGTCCACTGCCAGTGCGCCGCCGCGCGGGCATGCCGCCACCCTCGGCTGGACAGGCGGCACGCACGCGACACGCACGCGACACGCACGCGCACGCGACACGCACGCGACACGCACGCGACACGCACGCGACACGCACGCGACACGCACGCGACACGCACGCGACACGCACGCGACACGCACGCGACACGCACGCGACACGCACGCGACACGCACGCGACACGCACGCGACACGCACGCGACACGCACGCGGCACGCACGCGACACGCACGCGACACGCACGCGACACGCACGCGACACGCACGCGACACGCACGCGACACGCACGCGACACGCACGCGACACGCACGCGACACGCACGCGACACGCGGCCCCGGGGACCGGGCCGGCCGCGCTGGCGGACCACGGACTCCGGGACGCGCAGAGCAGATGGCACCGGAAATCAGCGTGGCGGCATTTTCTCGCCGTTTCCGGGGGTCCCTCCGGGACGCGATACGCGTGAGCCAAGCTCCGGGTTTGACTAACGACGGGTGAAACTCTGGGTTCGACCCTTGTTGGATCCAAGTCCGGGTTCTACTCTGGGTTTGACTCTTGGTTCGAATGTGGGTTCGACTCCGGGTTCGACTGCGCGCATGTTATTCACGACCTCGCCCCAATCGGCCCGCGCGGTCCGAGGCTCGGCCCGAGGCTCGGCCCGGAGCCGAAGGACCTCGGCACAAATGGAATTTTGCATTTAAAGGCACTCATCGGCTTGTTCCCCGAATGTGCGTCCGAAGTCGGCCGATTAATTACGATCGACGGATTAGCCAGACTGGCAGACAGACAGACAGACAGACAGACAGACAGGCAGACAGACAGACAAGCAGACAGACAAGCAGACAGACGGACAGACAGACAGGCGGGGGGCGATGCGTCAATGTCAGGCGACACCGCTGGCTGCTGCGCCCAACCCTTATTTTCACATCATCGCAAAGCAAATGCGTGTTTGTCTCTTCGATGATTATTGTATAATTTCGCTTCGTCGGGGCGACTTTTTTTGCGTTTGGCGGTCATATCGACGCGGGGCAGCCCTTCGGAATATCAACACGGCCGGACAGATGGCGCCACCGCGGCGCCGCTTTTTGCTCAAATTTATGGGCCGCGTTCCGGGAATCGACCCGCGAATCAGAGCCAGAGGTGGACTGTTTGCGGTGCACAGTGTGCCAGAAGACTGGTGGAGGCTGCCGAAACCCCAGACGCGTTTCGAGCTCCACGGTCGCTAAATGGGACCCGAACCGAACGTGTGACCCCACCAGTGGATTGCTCTCCGAACGAGGAATCCATTGGTGGGGTCACACGTTCGGTTCGAGTCCTGTTTAGTGACTCTGAGGCTCAAAACGCGTCTAGAGTTTTAACAAAACGTTTTCAAATCCGTTAAAAAGGATGTGTATTTTTGCGTTGCGCGCGCCGCCGCTTGGAGGAATGCCGCATTGGCCGGCTGGCATGGCCGGGCCGCGTGTAAACAATACTCTTAGTCCAAGCAAACATTATTCAGGGCTGCTAGCGCCCCGCCACACACACACACACACACACACACATACACACACACACACAGACACACTCACTCACACACTCACGTGCCCTGCCCCGACGCAAGTGTTTTCGTGTTAGTTTTTTGAGCCTCCTCATATTTAGTGCGGCTCGGCTCGCGAGAAAAGGGGGAACCGGGGGGGGGGGGGGGGGGGCGACGCTGGGGGCTTAGCTGCAGTCCAGCAAACAGACATTCGTCAATGTATTCATTTGTAGAAAAAAGAGGGGGGAAATAAGAAAATAAATGGAAATAAAAGGGATTGTTTTGTTTTTGCTCTTGTCATCAGCAGGCGTGAAGTATGCATATATGAAGGCAGCAAGGGGGGTCACACTGCTGGAAAAGAAGGCAACCAACCCCCTCACATCATGATGGCTCATGTGTGTGTGTGCTGTTTGTTTTGCTTTTGTTTCGCGGCCGTGTAGCTCTGTGTGTGTGTGTGTGTGTGTGTGTGTGTGTGTGTGTGTGTGTGTGTGTGTGTGTGTGTGTGTGTGTGTGTGGAACTGTAACAAGTGCGTCCGCTTGGCACGCCAAGTTGGGCGTATTCTCGCCGCTCAATGACGCCGGGGCTCGGATGCTTGAAGCACATTCCGAGAAGCTTGTCGAGGGGCTTTGCGCACTGCGACTCCGAGGCGGCAGAGTGTCTCTCTCTCTCTCTCTCTCTCTCTCTCTCTCTCTCTCTCTCTCTCTCTCTCTCTCTCTCTCGACGCCCCGCACGCGCCCCGAGTGCGAGAGAGACGGAGCGACGCGAAAGCCGCGCTCGGAATCAGCCCGCTGGCCCGCACTGCCCCTGTTATTATTATGCGATCCCCGGCATTGGGCATTCAGCTTCATTGTCGATGTTTTCCGATCGGGATGGCCGGCCGGCCTGCCTGGGCTGGGCGCTCGCACACACACAGACACACACACACAAACACAAACCACACACACACACACACACACACACACGCGCGCGCCCGCTTGACGGGGCTGGAAGGGCGCACTGGCCTGGCCGGCCGTTGCCTCGGTCTATGCACACGCTCGCGGGTACTTGCCTTTGATCGGCTATTGTGTGCCGTTGGCGTGCCGTGTGACATGGTGGGGCCCAGCCGTGTCGCGCGCGCACTCACACACAGTCGATTCGAGTTGACAGTTTCGTTTCGTGATTAGATTTCGCGGCGTTCCTCTGAGAGAGAGAGAGAGAGAGAGAGAGAGAGAGAGAGAGAGAGAGAGGCGGCGCCCCGCGGCTGGCTGTCCCGATCGCGACGCCATCAGGAGGAATCTGGCAATCGGAATTCAACCCCCGCGACCTTCCCCCTCCCCCGTGTGTGTGTGTGTGTGTGTGTGTGACGGGCGCAAGGCAGGCAGCATCGGAACGAAAGGGATTGCAAGCTGACGCTGTGGGAATCGCGTAGAGAGCGGCGGCAGCGCGCTAAATTCCCTTTCCAGCCAGAAACACAATCTCGCGCATAGCTAGCCGTACGTCGGGATGCACCGTGTGCGTGTGTGCGCGTGTCCCAGAATGCGCGTGTGTGTGTGTGTTTGAGCGCGTACCCTCCGGGGTGGTACTACGTTTTCTGACAGGGTATTGGTTTTGTAGGGCAGCCCTTACATGGGTCTGTACTCTTCGATACTGTGTAAGGCCCGCCCCGCGCGGGGCCTCAGTCGGTCTCTCTCTCTCTCTCTCTCTCTCTCTCTCTCTCTCTCTCTCTCTCTCTCTCTCTCTCTCTCTCTCTCTCTCTCTCTCTGACACGCGCTCATTCCTGGCTTGTTTCTGTTTCTGCCGAGCCATTCGGTGACATGTTGGCGCCCAATGGAACCGTGCCAGTTGATTGTACCAGTGCAGACGGACAGGGAGAGCGCGGCGCCGGCCCGGCCGGGATCTGAAACGGCTCGGAAGAATCTGAAACGTCCTGGAAGGTCCTGGAAGACTGCCTGGAGGGACCTGCCCTCCGAACGACCGTCTGGAACTACCGTCGTCTGGCCGGAACGACGCTCGAAGTGCGGCGCCCTGTCGGGAGACTGTCTAGCAATGCCCTGCCTGAAACCGCGCCCCTTTTGCGAGGGAAGTGAAGCCCGAATTCGAAAGAGAAATCTCCCTGAAATGGCATTGCTCAACTGGCCTTCCAAAGAAAGCCACCTGCCTGCTTGGCTTTCAGCGGCCGCGCCACGCCACGCCGCGCCACGCTCGCGAAACGCAATATCATACCGAGGCGGCGTCGGCCGAGCCGATGAGTAAAAACAAAACGGAGGAAAACAAAACACGAAATAAATAACAATATAAAAACAAATAATAAATAATACACGCATCGAATGCGCCGCGCACAAACGTGGCGCGTATGTAAATGGACGGCCGTGTTGCAGTCTTGCAGTGGTGCGTTTCATATTTGAGGGGGGGGGGAGCAGAGGGACTGATTTCGAAAAACGCGGCGCGGTGGCGGCAGTGTGGCGGTGCGGCGGCGTCCTCGGGGATTCCTATACGGTTGTCCCGATGTAAAGAAATGGGCAGGCAGCCCGGCTTGATCATGGAATAAACCGGTCCGCCTGGGGATGCGTCTCTCTCTCTCTCTCTCTCTCTCTCTCTCTCTCTCTCTCTCTCTCTCTCTCTCTCTCTGTTTCTCCCCGGTGCAGTGCGTCGTCGGCTCCAGAGGCTGTTGCATTGCCAGTGCACCGCGCGGGGCGCTGCCTTGGCGTTGCCGCCGTGGCGCTCCGAGGCCGGCACCACCACACCAGAAGGCGGCGGCCCCGCGGCGCGGCGGCGCGGCAGCGCGGCGGCCCAATTAATAATAATGCTTTAATCAGAGCCGGGGTGTACGCTTTATCGGGCCGCCCAGTCTGGCGGTCTCTCTCGCACCCATGCGGGGCGCCCTCGTGGGTGCGAGAGAGACAGAGCGACGCAAGCGACTCTCGGGAATCGGTCTGCTGCAGCGGGGCGGTTCGCTCGCGCGGAGTCCGTCTCTACAGTGTGTCAGGGGAAGGACCCGTGGGACGTTCCCTCGCGGATCCTGCCAGTGTCTCTCTCTCTCTCTCTCTCTCTCTCTCCCTCTCTCTCTCATCGCCGCGCGTGCGCCCCAATGTGAATGTGAATCTGATTCAGGTCCCTTGCCTGCCTGCCTGCCTGGCGAGCCTCGCCTCGCGCGCCCACTCACTCCAACACTTTGGGCCCCGCCATGCCATGTCAGATGTCGTGTCCGTCAGACCCACGCACGCACGCACACACGCACGCACACACACTCACTCACACACACACACACACACACACACACACACACACACACGTGTTCACGGCGTGGCGACTCCTGTCACCGGGACGGCCGGGATGGGATGGGGCCCTAATGGGAAGGCTAACGCGGCGTCGGTGATGCAAGTCGAGCCAAGTAGACCGGACAGTCCAAAGGACGGGGCGCGGGGCGTCGTCCTCCTGGTTCCGTCTCGCTCGCACTCATGGTGGCGCCCCGCCGTCCGGCCGTCCCGCGCGGGGGTGCGACAGAGACGGAGCGACGGTGCCGGACTGGCGGTCATAACCGCCATAAAAAGTGGCCGGTCCACCGCGCGGGCCTGCACTGGTAGGGCCGCCACTGCACTGCGTGGGCCGTCCCCAGTCCGTCCGCGCAATTAGGTTCTTTGAGGCCTCGCTGCCCGGCGCACAGTGGGCCAGAAGACCGGTGGGGGGCGGTCAAAATCCCAGACGCGTGCCGCGGCGCAGCGCGGTGCGTCGCTGCTCCTTAATTTTATCGTTTGTTGTGATGCGTGCGTAAAATGTGAGCAGACAGGGCCGGGCCTCGGTGCCCCGCTTCCCCCGCTCGCCACGCCGCGAGTGCGCGCCGACTCAACTCCCACCTTGTTAACCCCTTCCCTTCCCTTCCCCCGGCCCGTCCTTCCCTGGCTGATTTCGCGTGTGATTTGTTGTGTTTGCAGTTCCCCGGCTGCCAGCAGGCCTGCGCCTTCCACCGGCGCTCCCGGCCGCACCGCCAGCAGCAGGCCGTGGTGCTGACGGGCGGGCTGGCCGCGGTGCGCGTCTCGCCCTCGTCGACGGCGTCCTCCTCGTCGTCGTCCTCGTCCGCGGCCCAGCGTGCCTCCTGGCCCGCGCCGCCCGCGCGCTCCTCGGCGCCCCGGCCGCTCGTCTACGTGCTCATGAGGAGGACGACGCAGCCCGCCTGGACGCAGATCACCCAGGTAAGCGGCGACGGAGCAGTCAGTCAGTCGACAGGGGCGGAGCCAGACACACAGTAAATGTCTTACGGTGAAAGGCTGCACCAACATAATATGGTGGAGATTTTCTCCATAATACCAACGAAATTCGTCAAAATCTGTATAAGGTACAGTGAATTCTCAATAGTATGTTACAAAGTCAGCTGCACCACCATAAGATGGAACATTTTCACCATAATATGGAGAATCTTCACTGTGCAACATTTAGAGTGGACGGGTTCGTCGCGGAAGTTGCCCAAATACACGGGTAAAATGTTACTTGGTGCGTGCCTTTAAGACGGATTTTGAAAGTCCTGTCGCCCTGTCGCTCTCGCACTCACGGGGCTTCCCGTGTGGGTGCGAGACAGACAGAGCGACGAAAAAGACTCTCAGAATCAGTCTGCTGTCACTCGAGCGCCCGGAGGTTAGGCCGTCCCGGACGCAGGTGTGTTCGACGGGACGGCCTAGCCTCGCCACAGGAAGGGGCTCCCTGCGTCGCGTTGCACCCCGCGCGCGCGCTCTCTCTCTCTCTCTCTCTCTCTCTCTCTCTCTCTCTCTCTCTCTCTCTCTCTCTCTCTCTCTCTCTTTTTCCCCGCAGCGCCACTGCAAGCGGGCGCAAGTTAAACGCTCGAGATAAATTAAAGTCACCCGAATTTCTCGACTTAATTTATCCCTTCAAATTCGGAACATGACGCTCGCGCACGTCGTATTTTACGGCCGCTGCCCGGCCGGTGGCGTGGCGTGGCGTTGGCACTGCAGCTGCTTTATTCTTGCGATTCGCTCCTTAATTTAATCATGGCGGGGGGGGGGGGGGGGGGGGACGCGGCCGCCCAGCGTGTCGCTTCACCACCGCGTGGTCGCGGGTCGGCCCGGCCGGGTCGACGGCCACACACGGCATGTTTCAGAGAGAGAGAGACGGACATTCCTCCGCCCTTCTCCCGTACCGTTTTTGGGTGTCGGACAAGTGTCCGTGTCCGCGCCTCGCCGCGATTTGTCCGCGTCCGTCATCGCGTCGCCGCGGCTGTTCCGGCACACTGATTCCGAGAGTCGCTGTCGTCGCTCTGTCTCTCTCGCACCGACGGGGAACGCCCCGCGAGTGCGAGAGAGACAGAGAGGCGGAGCGACGACAACGACTCTCAGCCTACAGTGCTGTTCCCCGGGCCGGCCGCGCAGTCCATAACCCGTATTGTTCTCGCCGAGAGGGTATCAATCCTTGCCGCGTGGTTCCGGCGACGTCGCTCTGTCTCTCTCGCACTCGTAGGCCGCCCCGTGGGGTGCGAGAGAGACAGAGCGACGACAGCGCTGAGTCGCCGCGCGCACCGGCCGCGCCCTGCCCATGTCGCGTGGACCCGCTGGCTTGCTTCTCTCTCTCTCTCTCTCTCTCTCTCTCTCTCTCTCTCTCTCTCTCTCTCTCTCTTCTCTCTCTCTCTCTCTCTCTCTCTCTCTCTCTCTTTCTCTCCTCTTCTCTCTCTCTCTCTCTCTCTCTCTCTCTCTCTCTCTCTCTCTCTCTCTCTCTCTCTCTCTCTGTGTGTGTTTTGCGTGTGTGTGCGGGGGTAGGGGGGCCGTGTTCGTGCACTTGTATAATTTTTTGGCTCCCGCGGATGAGTTTTCGCCACCGACTTTCTGCCGCTTTAATTTGTTTCACCTCGTCCTTAATTATTCCCCGCGCGCGATGCGAGTGATGCGACGGCCCCCCCGCCGGGGGGCTGCCTGCCAGCTCGGGCTGGCTGTCCGCCTGCAGTACTACAGCCTGGGGCCCGAGGCCGCCAGCTCGGTCTGCCCGGCGGCGGCGGTGGCGGGCCGAGGGTTTTGTTTCCCCGGCCGGAACACGCATCACACGCAGCGAGTGTCGTCCTCCTCGTTATCTCTCGGCCCATTCATCAGGCCGCCGTCTGTTGTTGCAACATTTTTAGGGAAACGGGCGGCAGAAAAGCGGCCGGACCCGGCGATTCGCAGTCTTCGTCGCGCTGTCTCTCTCGCACTCGCGGAGCGCTCCGTTTGGGTGCAAGGGAGACAGAGCGACGAGGACGACGGCTCCGATGCCTCGCTTCCCGGAGGCGGGGTATAAATCTGGCCGGTGGGGCAGTGGGTCTGGCCGGACAGTGGGGCTCGCCGTCCCGTGGGTGCGAGAGAGAGAGAGAGAGAGAGAGAGAGAGAGAGAGAGAGAGAGAGAGAGAGAGAGAGAGAGAGAGAGAGAGGCGCTGGGGTGGCAGGCAGCACCCCGAAGGACGCTGTAAGTCTGCAGGCCGACAGGCGAGATGAGCGGTTGTTTCCGCGGCGCAGCGGGAGGGCCACCGCCCCTGCAGGCAGGGCCAAGGGGCCAAGGGCGATTCGATCAGGTGCGATAGAGACAAAGGGCCCTGCAGCCCTCGGCGACAAACAATGCTCGCGAAATGGGACAGTCGGGTCCAGCTGACTGGGTGCCGGGTCGGGGGCGCTGGGGCCGGGCCGAGCCTGGCCAGGGACAAGACTCGTTTGTCTGTGTGGCCCTGGGCAGGCCCTGGGGAGCCTCTTCGGGGTCAAGCGTGGCGGCGGCCGAGCGTCCCTGGTGGCGCTGTCGCTGTCTCCTTCGCACCCCGTGCGTGCGAGAGAGACAGAGAGACGGGCCTGCCGGACGAGAAGTCAGTCCGAGGACCCGTCCCGTCCCTTTACGAGGCTTTATTTCAAATCTACGCGCCGCTTCGGGGAGACTTGTTGCGAAGCTCTGCGAAGCGGTAGTTAAAGGTTTTAGTGCCCGAATGCGGGATTATGACTGAAAATAACTTGGCCTAGGCAGGCGGCTCGCAGGCAGCGCGCGCTATTACGCGCAGCTGTCTTCGAATTTCATCCCGAGCCCCGGGGAGCAAGCGCGCCCCTGGAATCATCATTATTATTTGTAAACTTTCCCTCCTCCTGTGACATGAAACAAGTTGGGCAACTTTTCCGCCGCGGGCGCCGCGCGCCCCTCTCCCTCTTTTTAGTGGCGCCTTCTTTTCGTTACGCGAGCCGAAATAGCACGCCGCCTCGGCACCAGAAAAGCGCCAAAAGTGTTCGCGTCCATCGCACAGTGAGCCAGAAGACCGGTGGAGACGGTCCAAATCCTGGACTCGTTTCGAGCTCCAGAGTCGCTAAATGGGCTTCGAACCGAACGTGTGACCCCACCAATGGATTGCTCTCCGAACGAGTAATCCATTGGTGGGGTCACACGCTCGGTTCGAGTCCCATTTAGCGACTCAGGAGTGCAAAACGCGTCCGGGATTTTCACCGCCTCCACCGCTCTGGCCGGCCCCAGTAAGCTTGAATAAAGAAAAGTATTACGTTTTAGTTCTACAGTGATCTAACCCTTGTTTGTGTCTTTGCTCCGCAGACGGTGGACCTGAGCGCCAGACTGCCCGAGGACTTCGTCGTGGACCGGCACACGTTCCGCGTGCTGGTGGTGGGGCCCGACGGCCTGCAGACCATCTACAGCCCCGCGCCGGACGCCGCCGCGGAGTCCGCCTCGACGGCCACCCTCAGCAGCACCGCCGCCCCCGCCACCACGGCCGCCCCCGCCACCACGGCCGCCCCCGCCGCCCCCGGCGCCGCCGGCGCCGCCGAGACGTTCTCGATGTCGTCCCCCCAGAGGCGCATTAACACAGCAATCAAGGTCCCGGCCTCGGCGCCCGCCCCGGCGCCCGCCCCGGCGCCCGCCCCCAAGGAGCAAGTGAGTACCGCGTCCCTCCGGGTCCCTGCTGAGTCAGCCCGGCGTCCATAAAGGTGCACGCCGGCGAGGAATTCCCGAAACCCGCGCGGCAAACGCACAGTGGGCCAGAAGACCGGTGGAGGCGGTCGAAACCCCGGACGCGTTTTGAGCTCCAGAGTCGCTGAATGGGACTCGAACCGACCGTGTGACCCCATCAATGGATTCCTCGTTCGGAGAGCAATCCATCGGTGGGGTTACACGTTCGGAGGTGGAGCTCAAAACGCGTCTAGAGTTTCGGCGTCCTCCCCCGGTCTTCTGACCCACTGCGAAACGGGCGGAATCGGCCATTACGCCGTAAAAGTCCCCGACTCGGCCGTCCATCATCGCCGACCCGACCACCCCTAACGCGTTGCATTTTTTCCGCAGGGATGGCAGCTGCGCGAGGACTCGCTCATCCACCAGAAGGTGCTCGTCATCGCCGAGCTGTCCTGGGCGCCGCGCGGCCCCGCCGCCGGAGTCTACCTCGTGACCTGGGAGGTGGACGGCGGCGGCCTCAAGGGCAACCTGTTCACCGACTCAACGCACGTCACGCTGTCCCTGTGGCCCGACACCGTCTACCACGTCCAGGTGAGTGTCGAGGACGCCGTCGAGGATGTCGTCGAGGAGGCCGCACAGTGGACCAGAAGACCGGTGGTGGTGGGTCGAAATCTCTCCGAACAAGGAATCCATTGGTGGGGTCACACGCTCGGTTCGAGTCCTGTTCAGCGACTCTGGAGCTCAAAACACGTCTAGAGTTTTGGCCGCCTCCACCGGTCTTCTGGCCCACTGTGGGCCGCTCCGCCTCTCTCGCTCGCCCTCGCGGGGCGCAGGGTGCGAGAGAGGCGGCGACGGAATCAGACTTACCGGCTGGGGCTGGCGGCGACGCGCGGTCACGCCGCAGAGGACGTTTCCAGGGCCCCGTCGCTTCCGTCCTCCGCCACGCTCATTTCGACGGCCTGCTTGGAGGCGGCAAAAACGATTTAATGCAGCCGGCCAGGCCGATTCCCAGAGTCGCTCTGTCTCTCTCGCACCCACACCGTGCGAGAGAGACAGAGCGACGACAACGACACTGGGAATCAGTCCGCGGACTGTGAGACTGTGAGACAGACGCGGCGTCTCGGTACGGGTGGCACCGCTCCGTCTCGCGGGGACCAGGTGGACACCACCACCGCGACGACGACTCCAGAAAGTAATTACGACTGTCGCGCCCCTTTTTTACAGTGCTAATGACGCACGGGGACGTCACCCTCCGATATCGTTTTTTGCCCCCTTCTTTGGCCCTTGGAGGATCTTGCTTTTTCATCCGCCGAGCGTGGGACACTTGCAGTGTGTCGGCGACCGTGTCGCCCAGGGAGCGCTGCCGCAGGTGCAGCGAGCCTGAAGTCTGACTCCGAACAGTGCACAGTGGGCCGGAAGGTTTAGCTCGAGAGTCGCTAAATGGGACTCGAGCCGAACGTGTGACCCTACCAATGGACCCCCCGTTCAAAGAGCAAGCCATTGGTGGGGTCACACGTCCAGTTCGAGTCCCGTTTAGGGATTCTGGAACTCAAAACGTGTCTAGTGGTCCGGCCTACTGTGTGGCGGCTGGCTACACCCACCGCACCACTGTACACACTGGGACTGGGCCGACTGCGTCCCCGAAAACGGAATGGGATGGGACGACCTCGGGATTCGGAGACCCCCTGCCAACTTTCCCCATCTCCGCGCTCTAAAACCGCTCGGACATTATTACACAAACACACACGCGCGCGCGCGCGCACACCATCCCGGGCCTAATTTACAGCGCATGCGTCCACCGACGGTGGGCTGTTCGCTTCGCGGGGTCCCCGGCGGGGTCGTCGCGGCTGCGGTGGCGCTGCCCCACGCCGCGCTGGCCGGCCGGGCGGCCCTCAGTGGGCCAGAAGGCCGGTGGGTGCGGCCAAAAGACGCGCTTTGAGTTCCGAGTCACTAAATGACACTCGAACCGAACGTGTGACCCCACCAATGGATTGCTCTCCGAACGAGGAATCCATTGGTGGGGTCACACGATCGGGTCGAGTCCCATTTAGCGACTCAAGAGCTCAAAACACGTCTAGGGTTTTGGCCGCCTCCACCGGTCTTCTGGCCCACTGTGCGGCCGTCGCTCCGTCTCTGTCGCACTCCTGGGGCACTCTATAAGGGTGCGAGAGAGACAGAGCGCTGCCGGATGGATCCGCCGTCGGCTGCGTCTAGACGACTCGGGAACACGACGGCGGCGACGGCGGCGCCCGGCAAGGCAGGGCGCGGTGCGCGGGCAAGCCGTCCCATTAGGCGCGGTAATAGTTGAGGCACCGCAAGACGCGCTGTCCGTCTCTCTCGCACTCGCGAGAGAGAGAGAGAGAGAGAGAAGAGAGAGAGAGAGAGAGAGGGCAGGAGAAAAGAGAAAAAGGGGAGGGGGAGAGGGAAAAGGGGGGGGCGGGGGGGAGGAAGGGGGCCCCGGGGGAGGAGGGAGGGGGGGGGGGGGGAGCAGCCAAGGCGAGCCAAGGCCGAGACTCAGATTGATATCGCTGGCATCGCTGGCCGGCCCTTTTGTCTGAGGCATCGGTCGGCCCGGCGCCACGCCCCTCCCACCTGTGCGGCCCTCGCCCCCCCCCCCTTTTTTTTCTCTCTCTCTCTCTTCCCCTTCCCCTTCCCCCTCTCCTCTCTCTCTCTCCTCTCTCTTCCCCCTCCTTTCCCCCCCCAAAGGGATGCCCCGGGAGTCCCATAGTGCGAGAGAGACGGAACGAGGAGCGCCCCGGCGCCCCGTCGACATTATTTTGGCGAAAACATTCTGCCGTGTCGCTCCGACCTCCACTTGACGCTGTCGAGCGGAGGGACAATCAGAGACCCTGCTTGGCTGGCTGGCTGCTTGCCCTGCCCCAATCTGGTCCTATTCGGGTCCGATTCGGATCACAGCAAGCGGGCTTTAACTGATCGCTCCGAATAAATCAATTGTCCTCTCGGCCGGGGTGAGTTGAACCGAACCTCGCTGCTGCTCTGCCCCGGCTCGGTTCGGCTCGGTTTGGCTGTCCCGGCTTGACCCGCGCGCCGCCTCCGCTCGGCTCGTACATTAGCAGGCTCTCGGGTTTCATAGCTGGCTCGAATTAAAGGCGGGCATGATGGCCTCCTTGGCCGGCCGCGGGGCCGCAGGGCTACACGGGCCGGCTAGGGCTGCGCGTCTCTCTCGCACCCTCACGGGACGCCCCGCGAGTGCAAGAGAGACAGCGACGGGCACGGCGAGGCGTGAGGGTTATTTGAATTCCACGCACACGTAAAATGGAAGCGCGCGCTGTGATGGCGGCGGCTGCCTGCGGTTGGCGCGATGCTGCGGTATATCACGTAATTTCTATTATAGAGAAGACGCTCCGCAGCCGCAAGGGGGGGGGGGGGGGGGAATGCAGCCCAGCATGGGGACGGCCGTTCTGCGTAGCGTCCCTTCCAGATTTTTCAGTTTTAGAGCTTTGTCGACAAGGGGTGGCACACTTTAAAATTTTGAAAATGTGCTGCTTTGATGACCACCACGCGTTCAGTCAGTGTCAGTATCACTCGCTCGGAAACTTGATCTTCCCTCTCTGTCGCACAGTAGGAGGACGACGACGCGCATGTGTGATGTGTGTTTGTCTGAAAGTGGCCCTGCTTGGCGGCGCCGAGATGAGGAGAGAGAGAGAGGGGGGGGCGCACCTTGTCCCGGGTGTCCCAAGTCGCCGGGCGACGACTAGCCTCACCACCTTTACCTTTCCCTCGCCAGTTCCATTATATTTTGTGGGGGAGGGAGCGAGAAGAAGTCGAATTACCCGCGGTTGGTTTTTGTTTGTTCTGCCTGCGGGCTTTGATTGCGTCCGTCGCGGCCGGCTGCCCGCCTGATGCTCCCTGCTGCCGTCCTATCGCTCCGTCTCTCTCGCACCCGCACGCGGCCCGCGTGGGTGTGACAGAGACGGATAGAGGCCCGTTCGGAATCGGCCTGGGTACTCCGCGCCCGTCTCCCTCTCCTCGCTCCTTTGCGGCTTTAATTGTTGAAATTTCCGCCACATTGCCGCCTTCTTTCCACATTCCAGCGCCAGCGCATCGCGCGCCTCGCTTCTCACGCTAGCACTGCCGCCCTGCTGGCCGCCCAGGCCTCTCCGGATTAGCCCGGGCCTACCGAACCAGCGATTCGGGCCGTTGTTGTTCCATGGCCAAAACGCGAACCCCCCTCCCCCTCCCTCCCTCCTCTCTCTCTCTCTCTCTCTCTCTCTCTCCCCCCCCCCCCCCACCGCGGCCGCGCTAGCGACTACAACTACATTCCCTTTTAGCCGTGGGAGTTTCGGACTCGCACAAAAGGGCTGAAAGGGCGGACCGCTTCACTCCGCCGCCGCGGTGCTGCTGCTCCTGCTGCTGCATTCTCTTTTGTACAAGCGGGCTTTTATAGTGGAACGAAAAAAAGAATTGTTTCCGAAAAAAAATTATGAAGATGCGCGCGCGGTGGTTCCTTTTTAATTTTTATTTTTTTCGGGGTGGGAAGCTGCGGTGGCCGGGGGTTCGAGGAGTGGAAACGAGTTAAAGACAGAGTGGCGGTCGCCGTCCACGACGTCGTGCACCCCACGGCCCCGACGGGGACGTCCCCGGGACGTTCCGGCGACGCTGTGTAATGATGGTCCCAAACGTCCTGGCCGCTCTGCGCCGCTCTGCCTTCCCCGGCGCCGGCCCCGCCGCCGCCGACCCGGAGCCCCGGAGTTCATTTAATGCCCCCAAAAAGTCAGTTAGCCGGCAGAGGACACAACTTTTAGTCTTTCCCCGGCCGGCCGTCGAGCCGCACCGACGGAGACTCATCTCTCGACGCGCGGTGGCGGCTGCGGCCGGCTTTTACATTATTTCCCCCGTAATTCCCCCCATCCCTCTCTCTCTCTCTCTCTCTCTCTCTCTCTCTCTCTCTCTCTTCTCTCTCTCTCTCTCTCTCTCTCTCTCTCTCGGACGCGGCGTGGCGACGGGTCGCCGGCCGCCGCACGTTCATAAGCCACCGGGGAACAAATATTTGGCTTGATGAGTGGAGTGGCGCGGCGGCCGCATGGAGCTCCATGGACTTCATGGACCTCATGGTGCGGCCGGCGACCGCAAAAGCCGCAACGTCAACCGACTCGCGGCCGCCCCGCCCCGCCCCGCCCCGCCCCGCCACGCCACGCCCCGCTAGGTGCAGTGTGTGGTGCCGGTGGATTATCCCGGTGTTTGTTCAGGCGGGTAGTTAACATTTCATATTTCCCCGCCGCTGCCTCGCGCGCGCATTAAAAAGAATTAAAGGAGCTGCCGGTGGTGGCTTTCAATTTCCCTGCTGCCTGACCACGCGTGGTCTCTCTCTCTCTCTCCTCTCTCTCTCTCTCTCTCTCTCTCCCTCTCTCTCTCTCTCTCTCTCTCTCTCTCTCTCTCTCTCTCTCCCCTCTCTCCTCTCTCTCTCTCTTGTGTGTGTGGGGTGGGGGGGGGGGGGCGTAATGTCATTACCGAGTAATGGTGCGGCCAAAGTGTGAACAACGCACTGGGTCGCGGTATTCCTCTCGCTTTGCGGAAACACACTGTATCTGTGTGGCGGCGCCGTGTTGGCCGTCCGTCCGCCCCTCTCGCTGCTGTTGACTGACCCAGCCCGTTTGTCTGTGTTTGCAGGTGGAGCTGGTGTCCGACTCGAAGCCCGGCCCCGCGCAGAGCGCCTCCCTGGTGGTGGACACCCGCCGCGCCGTGCCCAGCACCCTGGGCTCGCGCGGTCCGACCGCCAGCTCGCGCATCCCGCTGTCCATCGCCTCGGCCTCGTCGTCCACGTCGTCGTCGGCGTCCTCGCAGCAGACGGTGCCCGTGGACGCGGCGCTGCACCGCGGCCCCTTCCTGATGCTGGCGCCCGTCCCCAGCAAGCGGCACGTGGCCGCCGTGGCCGCGGAGAAGCACCTCGGCGACGCGGTGCGCCGGTCGGCCGGCGGCGCCACACTGCTGGCGGTCGGCGCGGGCGTCGTCCTCGTCTCGCTGGCCGTCGGCGCCGTCCTGGTGTGGCGGTGCCGCGGAGCCTTCTTCCGTCGCGGCGCCGGCGCCGTCGGCGACAGCTCGCCGTTCATCGGCGCCCTGGCCGTGGAGGAGGGCGACGTGCCGCCCGCCGCCGCCGCCAAGGCCGCCAAGAAGCAGGCGTCGCTGCACGCCGCCTTCACCGCGCCACCCCCCGTCGAGGCCCTCGCGCCCGTCGTCACGCTCGTGTCCGAGGGCGACGTCAGGCCGTCGTCGGCGACGTCGCCGTGCGCCGCCGCCCCCTGCCAGTGCTGTCCGCGGCCGGTGCCGTCGCCGTCCTGGAGGCACGTCAACATGGCCTCGTCGTGGGCCTTCGCCCCCAGCGCGGCCAGCCCACTGCCCGCGCCCTCGCCCGCACGCTCCCCCTCGCCGTCCGCGAGGGTGTAGTGCCCGCACTCCGGAGCTGTGCACCTTCCAGTCAGCTGCGACGCCAAAAACGCCCAGAGGGACGACGAGGATGACGAGGCACCTGCGCGACGGCCACGAGGGCGTGGATGTTCCCCGCGTGTCCGAAAGAGACGGAACATGCGCACGCTCGCGGTCGAAACGCCGTTTCTGAACCAAAAATTTTAGTAGAGGGAGCGAGAGAGACAGAGACTTGTTTGGGGCACCGCACGCCGTCTAGGGGCGGGGTGGGTGCGGGGATGCAAGTTCAGGGATAGAGATCTAATTATTATTATTATTTTAATACCATAAGACCCGACTGATATGTGTGGCCGATCACGAGTCGTGAAGTATGAATGCGTGTGCGGTTGTGAGAGTGTGTGTGTGTGTGGTTGTGAGAGTGTTGCGAGTGTGTGTGTGTGTGTGTGTGAGAGAGAGAGAGAGAGAGAGAGAGATATGCGTTAAGGCTAGGAATGTGATATTTGTACTGATTGCAGAGTAACACTACTTCAGGCTAGTGGTTCCATATTTTTTGGCGTGGTTCATTTAAGCTAGCTTTGCTTTTTAGTCTGTTTACGTAATCAATTTATCTCATTTCTACAATGTGATGATGTCTGGCAATCGTATTTACAATATCATTTCTTGTCTTTGCAATTTAGTATAGTTCCATCTAAGTAAATCTCCTTGCCTAAAGACGCTGTTTCAAAGATGCAAAGTGTGAGTTATTTTAGTCCTGGAGGTTTGAGTTTGCCAAATATAATATTAGCTCCCATATTGGAAGCAAGAGTCAGTATTTGTATCCTAGATTTTAAAGGATTACTTTGTAACTACCTGTAAATAAACCGCCTGTACATAAACGTCCGGCAGGTAGCGTGTTAAATGCATATCCTCACCTTCGTTCTAGTGCCTGCTTGAATCATTTTCCAGCACATGACGTGCACTCGGAATTTAGCCGGCTTGTACAAAATGTTTTGTTTTATACAAATGTTATTATCTTAATTACTGTACATTGTTGTACCATCAATGGGTGAAAAAAAAAATCCCATGAAAATACTGTGAGATATTGCGTCAATAAAAGTGATAATTTATTTATTGAAAGAATATGGTTGTTTTAATCACAACTCCCAAATACCATAAAAAACACCACTACTACAGATCAAAGTTTGATCGTAAATCTGGACAGGGCGCCGCACCGACCTAGCCCATTGCGCTGGACGTGAGAAATGACGAGGACGGCGTACGTATTGCGTGCGCCGCTGCGGACTGATTCCGAGAGTCGTCGCTCCGTCTCTCTCGCACCCACACAGGACGCCCCGTGAGTGCGAGAGAGACGGAGCGACGAGAACCACTCTCGGAGCGTTGGAACCCCGGAGCAAGGCGAAGACGCGCTGCAATGCCGAGCGCCCCGTAGCCCCGCCCACTACACCCTCAACTACTCCATTCCAGATTCTAGGGCACTCTTTAATTGCAAAAAGCGCCCCGCCGTCCGTCATGGCGCTACGGCGCCGCGGAGAGAAGCGACGCGCAGCGCGCGCACCACAGTGGGTCAGAAGACCGGTGGAGGCGGTCAAAATCCCGGACGCGTTTTGAGCTCCAGAGTCGCTAAATGGGACTCGAACCGAGCGTGTGACCCCATCAATGGATTGCTCTGCGAACGAGGAATCCATTGGTGGGGTCACACGTTCGGTTTGGAGTCCTGCGTAGCGACTCTGGAGCTCAAAACGCGTCTAGAGTTTTGGCCGCCTGCGCCGGTCTTCTGGCCCACTGTGTGGCGGCGAAATGGACCAGCTAGCGCCTGCGGCGTAGGCACCGGACTCGCGGGCGCTGCACGGCCGCACGCGTGGTTGCCTACCCCCGAGTTGGCAGGGGCTTCCGCCGGCGGCGCTCCACAACCTTGATGCTTCCGAGGGCGGCATTCGTCGCTCTGTCTCTCTCGCACCCTTACGGAGCGTCGCATGGGTGCGAGAGAGACAGAGCGACGAATGCACTCTTCGCAAGAATCAGTCCGCTGGCGATGCACTGACAAGTGCGTCAACCAACTGTTCACTCCCCGCATTGCGGAGTAAATTTTCTCGGTCCAAGAGACGCCTTTTTTCGGGTGGCGCGGCCTGTAATCCAGCGGCCGCCGCTGATTGTGAGCGCGGTGCGGTGCGCGTCGGAAAGCCTTTTTCGGGATAGCCCGGCCGGCCGGCCAGACGACGGCGAGGGCGGCGGAGGCGGAGGAGGAGGATTCCTCCTGGAAGTCGTCGGCCGCAGCAGCGACTGCAGACCGATTCCGAGAGTCGCTTTCGTCGCTCTGTCCCTCTCGCACTCACGGGGCGTCCCGTATCGGTGCGAGAGAGACAGAGCGACGACTCTCGGAATCAGTCTGCTGGGCGCAAGTCAGTGAGGCAGTCAGGGACGCCGTCAAGGAGGAGTGAAAAGGTAAAAGAGGAAAGACCGCCGCCGGCCACTTTGTCCGAGAGCGGAAAGGGAGGGGGGGCAAAGGACGGAAGCTGAAGAAAGCGACGGCGGAGAAAAAGTGCAGTGGCACTTCTTTGTCTTGATAATTGGCGTACTTTGTGCGGGGAGAGGGAGGACCCGTGCAGTCCGGCTCTGCTAGGAGACCCTGGCATTCGACTGACTACTGACTCCCAACGCGGATTTCCCAGTGGCCCAGTTCTTCAAGGCACCCGCCTTTCGCGATAGAAATAACATTCCTGGTCTTTTGTTCTTCGCGAAATAGGACGTTCAGATTCGGTCAGATTCGGCCCTAAGCGTCCGTGCAGCACCGCCGGTACAAGTTTCGTGCAGTCATGATTCAGAAAATAAAGCTCGCAAATAAGATAAATAAAGAGTGTCCGAAGTGAGTTCAGGCAGATCGTGAAAAAGACTTGTTACTCCCCGCATAACGGCCTCCAGGCCATCCGCAGAGCGTCCTATTCACACTGCTGAATAATTACTGGCGATGGGGCTGTGTGGGGTGTGAACGGGTTGAATGGAAAGGAGGACAAGCAGAAATAACTCCCCGACGCCTCTTTCCGCAGAGAGAGAGAGAGAGAGAGAGAGAGAGAGAGAGAGAGAGAGAGAGAGAGAGAGAGAGAATTATCCATCAGGAGGACCTTCTCGTCAGACCCCAGTGCTTCACCTGATGACACGCGCAACACTTGACGGGGGATGCACACACACACACACACACACACACACACACACACACACACACACACACACACACACACACACACACACACACACACACACAATCCTCGACTCATTCGTTCATGCACAATTCAAGCCACGACCGTCCCGCCCGATGTTGTGTGCCGCTGCTCCAAATTGAGTTAACATGCAAATGAACCGCATTTCGTCCGGGTCGGCCGGCCGGGCCTAACGAGCCGAGTTAACGCCGTCGCCGCGTTGTGCGCGTTGCAAACAGTGCGTAGCGCCGTGTGGCGTGGCGTGGCGCAGCGCGGAGCCGAGTCGAGCCGCCGTCCAAGTCAAGTCGGGGCCAAGTAAGTCGGGGCGGGGCGGCCAGAGCCGAGACGGGACCTCTTGGAGTTTGAGCAATCAACCCTTGCGCGTAAACGAGGGGATGCGGATGCGAAGACTGGGCGAGGTGCAAATGTGACGAGCACTGACCCCCGCCCTCTGTGTGTGTGTGTGTGTGTGTGTGTGTGTGTGTGTGTGTGTGTGTGTGTGTGTGTGTGTGTGTGTGTGTGTGTGTGTGTGTGTGTGGTGTGTGCGGCGACATAGGGTGCGAAAGCTACACTTCAAGTCTTTCCCTACAGACCGGGCTACCAGCCAAACACTAGAGCCCGGACCGCGGATAGGGGTCCGGCCCCACCCAGACGTTATTCACCCAAAACCCAACAGGCCCAAAGTCAATACACCCACGGCCAATTCACCCTCTAAAATTCACCCGAGGTCCGTTAACCCTTTCTCGATCTCACCCACGTCAAGCCCAAGCCCACTGTGGGAGCGAGGAGTATTGCTTAAAGAGAGGGGTATTGTCAAAAGCCACAGAGCGGTTGGTGATCGGCCAGGGTAAACTATTCCGGCAGCTGGGAGGGCCAGGGAAAACTATTCCGGCAGCTGGGAGGGCCAGGGAAAACTATTCCGGCAGCTGGGAGGGCCAGGGAAAACTATTCCGGCAGCTGGGAGGGCCAGGGAAAACTATTCCGGCAGCTGGGAGGGCCAGGGAAAACTATTCCGGCAGCTGGGAGGGCCAGGGAAAACTATTCCGGCAGCTGGGAGGGCCAGGGAAAACTATTCCGGCAGCTGGGAGGGCCAGGGAAAACTATTCCGGCAGCTGGGAGGGCCAGGGAAAACTATTCCGGCAGCTGGGAGGGCCAGGGAAAACTATTCCGGCAGCTGGGAGGGCCAGGGAAAACTATTCCGGCAGCTGGGAGGGTCAGGGAAAACTATTCCGGCAGCTGGGAGGGCCAGGGAAAACTATTCCGGCAGCTGGGAGGGCCAGGGAAAACTATTCCGGCAGCTGGGAGGGCCAGGGAAAACTATTCCGGCAGCTGGGAGGGCCAGGGACAACTATTCCGGCAGCTGGGAGGGTCAGGGAAAACTATTCCAGCAGCTGGGAGGGCCAGGGAAAACTATTCCGGTACCTGGGAGGGCCGAGCTATATAGCTAAAAAAAGTAAAAAAAAAAATATTCTGGGTGAACAGCTTTCTGGGTCAATCGCACGTGGGTCAATTACACCTGGGTGAAATACTTGGGGGTGAATAGCGTATGGGTGAAAATGCTTTGGGTCAATCGCACCTGGGTGAGTCGGCCTAGAACCCCGCGGGTACCCGGGTCGCCCGGGTAAGACCCGGGTTCGCGGGTAGACCCGGGTAACCACCCGGGTACTCGGGCAAAAGTCACCCTTTTTCAGCTTGATGGAAACACGGCCTGGAGCGGCGAGCAGTACCGCCCCACCGCAAAACAGCTTAGCCCCGCGATGCGGCGGCAAAATTAGCGAAACGCGCTTGTTGCTCGCGCTTTAGGGCCGCACTGTGCCCCGCGGAGCCCCGCGGAGTCGAAACGCGCAAGTTTTGCAGTGCAGCAAAACTTGCTTTATTAGCTGCGTGCCTTTAGCTCGGATTTCTGGCGGTACTTGGCACTCCGCGAAGAGACGCGTCTCCGCCAAGCTGCAGCGTCGGTCTGTCTCTCTCGCACTCGTAGGGCGTCCCGGAGAGAGAGAGAGAGAGAGAGAGAGAGAGAGAGAGAGAGAGAGACTGTTCCGAATCGCTCTGCTGAGCCTCACCGCGTCGTCCTCGCCAGCGACGCGCTCTCCGCCGGGGGACTAAAAAACGCAACTTGGTTGGAGGAATAAAAGTTTCCCGGTCCGGACATGATTTGCCACGGCGTGATGATGTCAGGTTCTTTTTGTTACCGCGGGACGGAGGAGAAAAGAGAGCGCTGCCGCGGCACGGCCTCGCGCCACCACACTGTCGCTCTGTCTCTCTCGCACTCGTGGGGCGTCCCGTATGGGTGCGAGAGAGACAGAGCGACGACTCTCGGAATCGGTCTGCGGCGCGGCGCGCTCAGAGTGGCCTCTGGGATTAGACTGTGCCTCGCCGCCACGCAGCGCTCGGCCGGCGTCCTCCAGGTCCTCCAGCGCGACAACCAAAAGGGGCTTCTGTTTTCCGACTTCAAAGTTCAAAATTACACTGCTGATTCAAGTACACTTGTAGCTTCGACTGTGCACACAATGCTAGACCATAGTGTAAATTATTCCGATTTTCAGGACAGCGGTCTTGTGTGGAATGCGGTGTGCGCGAGGCTGTGTGCGTGTGCCCCCAAAGTCTTTCAGCCCATGAACTTGGACCAGCTGCTTCGAACTCTTTCGCTCGCTGGCTCCCGAACCGCCATAAAGATGCGGCAGTCCCGCTGCAAGGCTGCGGAGTCTGGCCTGCGACGCCTGCATGCATGCAGACTGCAGCCTCGGAGCGGCATGCGCCTGCACTGTGTGTGCGTCCTGGCAGCGTCCTGGCAGCGGGACGCCTTGGGGACGCCCCGCACGGGACACACATTGTAATGGGCATGTGTTGCTCGGACGCGTTTTTCCGGGGCATTCCTGCTGCACCGCTCCAAGCCCTTCCCCCTCCCCCTTCCCCCACCACCGC